GGTTTAAAATTCTTTTCTTTAAGAATGTTGAATATTGGCCCCCACTCTCTTCTGGCTTGAAGAGTTTCTGCCGAGAGATCTGCTGTTAGTCTGATGGGCTTCCCTTTGTGGGTAACCCGACCTTTCTCTCTGGCTGCCCTTGAGATTTTTTCCTTCATTTCAACTTTGGTGAATCTGGCAATTATGTGTCTTGGAGTTGCTCCTCTAGGCCTGCCTTACAAGAGACCCTGAAGGAAGCACTAAACATGGAAAGGAACAACCGGTACCAGCCATTGCAAAAACATGCCAAAATGTAAAGACCATCAAGGCTAGGAAGAAACTGCATCAACTAACGAGCAAAATAACCAGTTAATATCATAATGGCAGGATCAAGTTCACACATAACAATCTTAACCTTAAATGTAAATGGACTAAATGCTCCAATTAAAAGACACAGACTGGCAAACTGGATAAAGAGTCAAGACCCATCAGTCTGCTGTATTCAGGAGACCCATCTCACACACAGAGACATACATAGGCTCAAAATAAAGGGATGGAGGAAGATTTACCAAGCAAATGGAGAACAAAAAAAAGTGGGGGTTGCAATACTAGTCTCTGATAAAACAGACTTTAAACCATCAAAGATCAAAAGAGACAAAGAAGGCCATTACATAATGGTAAAGGGATCAATTCAACAGGAAGAGATAACTATCCTAAATATATATGCACCCAATACAGGAGCACCCAGATTCATAAAGCAAGTCCTTAGGGACTTACAAAGAGACTTAGACTTCCATACAATAATCATGGGAGACTTCAACACTCCACTGTCAACATTAGACAGATCAACGAGACAGAAAGTTAACAAGGATATCCAGGAATTGAACTCATCTCTGCAGCAAGCAGACCTAATAGACATCAATACAACTCTCCACCCCAAATCAACAGAATATACATTCTTCTCAGCACCACATTGTACTTACTCCAAAATTGACCACGTAATTGGAAGTAAAGCACTCCTCAGTAAATGTACAAGAACAGAAATTATAACAAACTGTCTCTCAGACCACAGTGCAATCAAACTAGAACTCAGGACTAAGAAACTCAATCAAAACCGCTCAACTACATGGAAACTGAACAACCTGCTCCTGAATGACTACTGGGTACATAACGAAATGAAGGCAGAAATAAAGATGTTCTTTGAATCCAATGAGAACAAAGATACAACATACCAGAATCTCTGGGACACATTTAAAGCAGTGTGTAGAGGGAAATTTATAGCACTAAATGCCCACAAGAGAAAGCAGGAAAGATCTAAAATTGACACTCTAACATCGCAATTAAAAGAATTAGAGAAGCAAGAGCAAACACATTCGAAAGCTAGCAGAAGGCAAGAAATAACTAAAATCAGAGCAGAACTGAAGGAGATAGAGACACAAAAAACCCTCCAAAAAATCAATGAATCCAGGAGTTGGTTTTTTGAAAAGATCAACAAAATTGACAGACCGCTGGCAAGACTAATAAAGAAGAAAAGAGAGAAGAATCAAATCGGCGCAATTAAAAATGATAAAGGGGATATCACCACTGACCCCACAGAAATACAAACTACCATCAGAGAATACTATAAACACCTCTACGCAAAAAAACTGGAAAATCTAGAAGAAATGGATAATTTCCTGGACACTTACACTCTTCCAAGACTAAACCAGGAAGAAGTTGAATCCCTGAATAGACCAATAGCAGGCTCTGAAATTGAGGCAATAATTAATAGCCTACCAACCAAAAAAAGTCCAGGACCAGATGGATTCACAGCTGAATTCTACCAGAGGTACAAGGAGGAGTTGGTACCATTCCTTCTGAAACTATTCCAATCAATAGAAAAAGAGGGAATCCTCCCTAACTCATTTTATGAGGCCAACATCATCCTGATACCAAAGCCTGGCAGAGACACAACAAAAAAAGAGAATTTTAGACCAATATCCCTGATGAACATCGATGCAAAAATCCTCAATAAAATACTGGCAAACCGGATTCAGCAACACATCAAAAAGCTTATCCACCATGATCAAGTGGGCTTCATCCCTGGGATGCAAGGCTGGTTCAACATTCGCAAATCAATAAACATAATCCAGCATATAAACAGAACCAAAGACAAGAACCACATCATTATCTCAATAGATGCAGAAAAGGCTTTTGACAAAATTCAGCAGCCCTTAATGCTGAAAACGCTCAATAAATTCAGTATTGATGGAACGTACCTCAAAATAATAAGAGCTATTTATGACAAACCCACAGCCAATATCATACTGAATGGGCAAAAACTGGAAAAATTCCCTTTGAAAACTGGCACAAGACAGGGATGCCCTCTCTCACCACTCCTATTCAACATAGTGTTGGAAGTTCTGGCTAGGGCAATCAGGCAAGAGAAAGAAATGAAGGGGATTCAGTTAGGAAAAGAAGAAGTTAAATTGTCCCTGTTTGCAGATGACATGATTGTATATTTAGAAAACCCCATTGTCTCAGCCCAAAATCTCCTTAAGCTGATAAGCAACTTCAGCAAAGTCTCAGGATACAAAATTAATGTGCAAAAATCACAAGCATTCTTATACACCAGTAACAGACAAACAGAGAGCCAAATCAGGAATGAACTTCCATTCACAATTGCTTCAAAGAGAATAAAATACCTAGGAATCCAACTTACAAGGGATGTAAAGGACCTCTTCAAGGAGAACTACAAACCACTGCTCAGTGAAATAAAAGAGGACACAAACAAATGGAAGAACATACCATGCTCATGGATAGGAAGAATCAATATCGTGAAAATGGCCATACTGCCCAAGGTAATTTATAGATTCAATGCCATCCCCATCAAGCTACCAATGAGCTTCTTCACAGAATTGGAAAAAACTGCTTTAAAGTTCATATGGAAACAAAAAAGAGCCTGCATCTCCAAGACAATCCTATGTCAAGAGAACAAAGCTGGAGGCATCACGCTACCTGACTTCAAACTATACTACAAGGCTACAGTAACCAAAACAGCATGGTACTGGTACCAAAACAGAGATATAGACCAATGGAACAGAACAGAGTCCTCAGAAATAATACCACACATCTACAGCCATCTGATCTTTGACAAACCTGAGAGAAACAAGAAATGGGGAAAGGATTCCCTATTTAATAAATGGTGCTGGGAAAATTGGCTAGCCATAAGTAGAAAGCTGAAACTGGATCCTTTCCTTACTCCTTATACGAAAATTAATTCAAGATGGATTAGAGACTTAAATGTCAGACCTAATACCATAAAAATCCTAGAGGAAAACCTAGGTAGTACCATTCAGGACATAGGCATGGGCAAAGACTTCATGTCTAAAACACCAAAAGCACGGCAGCAAAAGCCAAAATTGACAAATGGGATCTAATTAAACTAAAGAGCTTCTGCACAGCACAAGAAACTACCATCAGAGTGAACAGGCAACCTACAGAATGGGAGAAAATTTTTGCAATCTACTCATCTGACAAAGGGCTAATATCTAGAACCTACAAAGAACTCAAACAAATTTACAAGAAAAAAACAAACAACCCCATGAAAAAGTGGGCAAAGGATATGAACAGACATTTCTCAAAAGAAGACATTCATACAGCCAACAGACACATGAAAAAATGCTCATCATCACTGGCCATCAGAGAAATGCAAATCAAAACCACAATGAGATACCACCTCACACCAGTTAGAATGGCGATCATGAAAAAGTCAGGAAACAACAGATGCTGGAGAGGATGTGGAGAAATAGGAACACTTTTACACTGTTGGTGGGATTGTAAACTAGTTCAACCACTATGGAAAACAGTATGGCGATTCCTCAAAGATCTAGAACTAGATGTACCATATGACCCAGCCATCCCATTACTGGGTATATACCCAAAGGATTATAAATTATGCTGCTATAAAGACACATGCACACGTATGTTTATTGCAGCACTATTCACAATAGCAAAGACTTGGAATCAACCCAAATGTCCATCAGTGACAGATTGGATTAAGAAAATGTGGCACATATACACCATGGAATACTATGCAGCCATAAAAAAGGATGAGTTCGTGTCCTTTGTAGGGACATGGATGCAGCTGGAAACCATCATTCTTAGCAAACTATCACAAGAACAGAAAACCAAACACCGCATGTTCTCACTCATAGGCGGGAACTGAACAATGAGATCACTTGGACTCGGGAAGGGGAACATCACACACCGGGGCCTATCATGGGGAGGGGGGAGGGGGGAGGGATTGCATTGGGAGTTATACCTGATGTAAATGACGAGTTGATGGGTGCTGACGAGTTGATGGGTGCAGCACACCAACATGGCACAAGTATACATATGTAACAAACCTGCACGTTATGCACATGTACCCTACAACTTAAAGTATAATAATAATAAATAAATTAAAAAAAAAAAAAAAAGAAATTAGGTGAACAAGGGTGCTACTTATTGGGTCCCCTCAAAGATGCCAACAAGAAAGGTTGCAACCTTCTCCCCAAATTAATTTATAAATTGAATGCCATTCCAATTAAAATATCAACAAGATTCTCATGTAACTTGACGGGTTGGCTCCTAAAATTTATAGAAAAGTGTAAAGGGCCAAGAATAGCCAAGGCAGTGAAGAAAGAGAAAGAAATAATGAGAAAGAGAAGGAGGTAAAAGAGGAAGAATTAGAGGTGCTTATTCTACCAGACATCAAGGCTTACTACAAAATGTTAATTAATTAACACTATATAATATTGGCACAGGGTTAGAAAAATAGGCCAAGGAATATAATGTGGAAACCTGAAACAGACCTTATTTATACATGACAATGACAGTTTGCACTGTAATCAGTTGGAAGAAGTCAATACATTTGGGCTGGGATAACTGGCTATGCATACAGAAACATAAAATTAAATCCCTTTCTAATACCATATAAAAATAAATTTTATAAAACTACCAGTAAATTAACTAATAAATTAGAATGGTAACATACTCACTGGATTGCCGTACACTGTTAGCTCCCTGAGAGTAGAGATAACATCAAGTTTTTCCAGTTCTGTGATATCCTATTCAAAAGTTAATCGGTTATTATTTGGTTAGACTTAACATCTTCAAATGTAGACTCATTTGAAGTAATTATAAGTGTTAGATTGCAGCTAGCTCATGATTGAATTCTCTGAAGTGAGCTTGAGTGACAGTGACAGTCTTCTGTATTCTTGAATAAAGGCAGATCTGTGTACTGTAGATTTCAAATACATGACTGGCAAAGATAACAGTCTAACATGGAAAATTGGATATATAGCAGCACTTGTAAGAAAAGACCAAATTTTTTCTCAGAATTATGATTTATTCTAGGACTCAGATTATATTTGGTTAATTCCTCCAGCACATTGACAAAAAAGTATGGAAAAGGTGAACCAAATCTAAAAGTTTTAAAGGTACATAACTAAACACAACCTTAACAATAAAAGAATGTGTGCTATTGAGTGGATTGCATCTTGATATACTTGCTGGGAATATATATAGCTGAAAAACTATCTCTCATGTTAAATAATTTGCCTTCTCCATTGCATAGCATTATTTATTAGCTTCCATTTAACATTGGTGAAAGTTTGCAAATATATTTTAGTTTTTGCAAAATTATTTCTAAAATGCTATTTCTGACAAACTTTAGTCAACAAGCTCAGCCTAAAGTTGTTGCTAGTTCGTGTAACACAACAAAGTTATTGACATGCCTGTATTCCTTTGTGGAATTACAAGTGGACATATAGCAAATTCTTCTAGTATATGTAAAAATATTTAGACCTATTTTAGATCATTTGGAAGTGAATTTGATTTTTAAAATGACCGATCTTTACTATTTTGATTTTGGAAGTATCATAAAGGAGGGCTTTGAAAAATCTGTAAATCTATAGAGATATTGTGCATTTTTACCCACAGGCAGTTTCTGTCTGTGGAACCAAGGCCTGATCGGTAATCACGGACATGTGAAAAGTCTTACATTATTTTCTCAAATTAAACCAAACATAACAGTAGTCACTAGTGAAATATTCCTAATCAAAATTTCTGTTTTCACAGAAAATGTTAATATGGGAAATAGACTATTAAATTTGTAGAAGATAATGATGGCATAAACTTTTAAAGAGACATCAGGGAAACTAATATGTCCATAATTGGGGGGAGAGGGCTGATGGCTTCCCATTTTTAATATGCAGCATTATTTTTTACAGTAGTGTGCTGCTACTGGCTCACCAAAAGTCAGCTGGTAAATTTTTAGGAATTTTGTGAGATGGTGTGTTAGCCTGAAATTGGCTATGACAGAAGAAATTATACCATAGAAATTGGCAAACGTTACTCATTAGGGATTTTTTTCCTCTTGGAGAGCCAGTTGTTAAGCATTAACCAGGATACCAATAGTAGTTACAATGTCAGCGTAAGTACTTAAGGCAATCATAATAATAATTGTGCCTGGATTGGGGCCTTCACTGAGGACAGGAAATAGCAATAGACTATTCTTGGGGTTCTTTTCAGCTTCAGGTGATTAATTATATATTTAAAAGTAGACAGAGTAGCTAGATGCCTGGTAGGGGAATCATTTAGACACAGGGATCAAACAGGACTATAAAGGTGAATTAAATAATGAATCTTTCAATTGTGTTTGTGTGATTCTTTCTTTAGAAGCAAGACTATAGACAACAATTTGCTAAATCTATATTATTGGACATGATGGCTAAGTAAAAAGCATCACACCAGAATCAAGGGTATGTATTATATTTTATCAAGGATATAGCTTCTGAAGGATGTTAAAGTAGGCCAACGAGGGACTGCATATACCTTCACTTGAAATATTGTTCCTTTGTTAATTTTTCTAGGCTTTCTCCCTTCTACCAATTTTTATTAACCCAAAGTTATCTGATTGTCCCTTTGTTGAAATTAATGCTGGTATCAGCCTGCCCATATTGGTATGAATCTAGAGACAGAATCTCTCTCAAAAATAAAATTTGAAAGGAGAGTTCAGAAGTTTGAAGAAAATATGTTTTCAGTAGAATTCAACAGAATTTCCAACATAACCTTTCTATTCCTCTGAGTTCATTTTTTCCCCATCTAAATGTATAGTCACATTAAGGTACTATAATATTAATGGTTAGAATAAGCTTAAAGGCAAAATGATCTATCTAAATTCAATGGAAAATACCATTTCAAGGATAAAAATAAAACAAATAAGGGATGGTCATTAAATAATAATACTTACTTCTTCATTCAATGATATGTAGAATCTCTCATGATATATAAGTTGTCATTTAGCTATATTAGATTTTGTTAATAAATAAGCTTGACTAAGTATAGTTGTTATACCAGCTGATCTCTATCGATTCATTTGCTTAAGAGGGATAGAGGAGTAGAGAGTAGGGACACTCTTGTGGAAAAGCAGGCTACCAGGTCTAATCTGGTAACTGGACATCCTGTCAAATAAAGCAATGATACTTGCTAGGAAGAAGGTCCTCATTTATGATATTCTCTTAGCGGTCCTCATTTATAATATTCTCTTAGCAGATCTTCTTGGTTAAGGACTGCCTATAATAAATAAACCTAGAATCTATAGAATTATAAGGCATGGATCCCTGTAAAATGTCACATAATTTCAAGTTTAAAATGGAGATGGTTCGTAAATGAAACATACTCCCTTATTGTATAAGATCACCTCATGGAATCTCACTTGAAGACCTCACATTTTATTCTAAGCTCGATGGTGTGTGTGATGTGGGAAGGAAGGGCCTGAGAAGGCACTAGGCATGTCCTGGGCCCTGTGTGTCCTTGAAATTATTTATAAAGCTCGATACCAGGTAAGATCTCTGATAAGTGTTGAGTCTGATTTGACAGTCTTTTTTGTTAACTCAATTGCTATCACTGGGAAGATCTCCATAGAAGGGCAATTTTCCTAATTTAGATTTCTTCTTGATAAATCTTAGGAAGAATCATCCCCAGTTTTGGCAGGCTTTTCTCAGATGAATGTTTGAATCTGTATAAATTAGTTGTATACTATTTTTATCTGTATGTACATTCCCTAATTGCTTTGTAGAAAGGGGCATGGCTCATGATTTCCTTCTAACCTTGTCCAGGGCTTTTAAAAAATCACCCCTAGAAAAGGCTTCCTGAACTCTATAGCAAGTAGAGCCACAAACGTTTATGGAGGATCTATTATGTACTGGGTACTATGCTGTATACTGATACAAATGTAGACGAGACAGACTTGCTGCCTGCCCTTGGCGGTTAGTCCAGAGTTCAGTCTGTCTTTGAGGCTATCTTAGAGGTATTGGCAGAAGTAGAAAAGCTGGTAAAAGGAGAGCTAAGAGACCACCACAGAAATGCTGAGAGAAATGTGAGGGCTGTATAAGGTTATGTCTTCAACTCTTATCTGTATGCTATCTCAGGAGAGAGTCTGAGCGGTTCAGTTGGGGCGGTGACCTAAAAGTAACAGGTTAAATTCTCAGCAGGTAAAACTAAGCCAGGATCCTATCTAAGGAAGCCTTGAGTGGGGAGAGATATAACATTAAAGCCGAGTCAAAGTCCATTATCAGGAGTTGATTCAAATGCTGGGTAGAACAAGTACATATGATAAGTTTAAGGGGCCAAAGGAAGTCCAGAATCAAGATTCAGAAACAACTTGGATCAAGAGCAGTCAAGGAACAAATGAGAACTCTCAGAGAGGACTGCTGAGAAGAGCCTTAGGACATGTAGAACTAACCTTTGTTAATGAGCTTGTGCATGTGGCTTTGTCCAGTTCTTAAGTCTAGAAGTAGGGTGAATATTTCTGCATCACAGACTATTTCTATGCCTTGAAATATAGACGGTATATAAATGATAAATAACATGCTAGCAACATTTTCATTGATGTTCTTGGAAGCTTTATGTTCAGAACTCAGAGAAACTAAAGCTTGTAAATCCCATAATAAAAAAATAATAGTTACCTGAATTTTATTATATCCTAGGAAGAGTTTCTCTAGTTTTACCAAAGATTGTAATTTGCCCAGTTCTCGCAGTCTGTTTTCCTCCAAGTGAAGTGCCAATAAAGAACTTGGTTTGGCAAAAGCACTGTCATTAAATGATCGGATGCGGTTATGATCCACTACCAATTCCTGAAGGACTACTAAGTTGTCAAGCCCTTCCACTTGGCTGATTTCATTACCTAAAAAGAAAGAAGTCATGATATATCAAGTGAGCCCAAACTTCCTGAATTAAAGGATATCTACTTACATATAAATATCTTTTAATCAGATGATTTTTCGAAAGAAGTAAAGGATTCAAGAAACTTATTTCCAAAGAGAAATTGAAATGTAATTTACAGGAAGGTAGCATCATCATAAAATAATATTTGCTAAAATTTCTCATTTGTGAATTTGAAAGATCAGGATGTGATATACACAATGTACTGAAATGATCTAATATGTCTGTTCAGTAATTGTTAAAATAGTTGGTATTGACAAAAGTAGATACAGAAAAGTGCTGCAAAACATATGCTTCCTGAGTATATTATTACTCTAATAGACATTACAATAGTATATTTAATTATTTCTTAAAATAGACTAATTTGTTGTATTATGTTAGAAGAACACCATTAATTATGCTGTTCTTTCTCATATTTTTGCACTGCAACCATATTAAACACATCAAAGTTCATTTAATTCTTCAAAACTCTAAACTCTTATTTATAACCTATGACTTCTCTCTATTGTAGCTATCAATAGCTATATAAATAGTAATGATAACTTATATGAAGACTTTTCACTTTACAAATTTTTTTTATATGTACAGTATTTTCTATCAGAGTCTCAAAATACTAGAGGGGAAATATTTTATCTCTTTTTTCTAATCAGAAAATTGAGGGTCAGAGAAATTAAGTGGCTTTCTCAAAGACATAAAAATGGCAATATCAGGCCTAACTTAGACTTTTTACATTTTAAGCTCAATTATCTTTCTAGTATGCCACACTACGTTTCATTCAATATTCATTCTCCTTGATATTATGTGCTGAATTGTGTCCCCCTGAAATTAATATGTGAAAATCCTAACCTCCAGTACCTCAAAATGTGACTGTATTTGGAGACAGGGTCTTTAAAAGATAATTAACGTTAAAATGAGGTCATTGGGATGAGCGTTAATTTAATATGACTAGTGTCCTCATAATAACTGGTGTAAAGACAGACACGTAGACCAATGGAAAAGAATAGACAACCCAGAAATAAATCCACACATTTACGGTCAACTCTTTTTTAATAAAGGTGTTAAGAACATACATTGGGGAAAAGACAGTCTCTTCAATAAATGGTGTGGGGAAAACTGGATATCCCTATGCAGAAGAAATGAAAATTGACCCTTATCTCTTATCATATACAAAAATCAAATCAAAATGGACTTGGCAAAGATTTCCTGTGTAATACGTCAAAAGCACAGGCAGCCAAAGCAAAAATAGACAAATGGGATTGCATCAAGCTAAAAAGCTCCTGAACAGCAAAGGAAACCATCAACAAAGTGAAGAGATAGCTCACAGAATGGGAGAAAGTATTTATAAACTACCCATCTGACAAGGGATTAATAACCAGAATATATAAGGAGCCCAAACAACTCAACAGGAAAAAGGAAATGCATAGACATTTCTCAAAAGAAGAAATACAAATGGTCAATGGGTATATGGAAAAATGCTCAGCATTACTAATCATAAGGGAAATACAAATGAGATATCATCTCACCCCTGTTAAAATGGCTTTTATCAAAAAGACAGGTAATAATAAATGCTGACAGGGATACAGAGAAAGGGGTAGAATGTCTTCAAAGCTCTTTTCAGCCTTTCACTCATCTTTCTGTGTGCTTACTTCCTAAGTAAGCACATACATTTATGACTTCACCTTTCACTTCCATTGTGATCATTCTAAAATAGTATATCTCTAGTCCTGACTTGTGGTCCAGTACTATTGCTAGAAAAACTTTCTTGTTTTTTTGAGATGGAGTCTCGCTCTGTTGCCCAGGCTGGAGGGCAGTGGCGGGATCTCGGCTCACTGCAAGCTCTGCCTCCCGGGTTCATGCCGTTCTTCTGCCTCAGCCTCCCGAGTAGCTGGGACTACAGGCGCCCGCCACCACGCCTGGCTAATTTTTTGTATTTTTAGTAGAGATGGGGTTTCACCGTGTTAGCCAGGATGGTCTCGATCTCCTGACCTTGTGATCTGCCCGCCTCGGCCTCCCAAAGTGCTGGGATTACAGGCGTGAGCCACTGCGCCCAGCCAACTTTCTATTTTTAATGCATCAAAATTGTTACAACACAAACTGATCTTTCTCTACTCTCAAATAAGCAACATTTCCCAATGACTTTAGCTTTAGTACCTCCTCTTGCCCAATCTCCCAATGAAATTATAAAAACATCTGGGACAGTTTTTCTCCTTATTTTACATCTAATTAGCCACTAAGTCTTAATATTTCTTCCTTTTAAACTGCCTTTTGGACTCACCTCTTACCACTCCCACTGCCAGCACTCTAGTCTATGCCCTTATTATGTCATTCAAGCTGGATAGAAACTGCATGTGCTTTGAAGGTAGATAGATCTAGGTTTGACTTGGTACCATAACACATACTGGTGCAAACTTGGCAAATTATTAAACCACACTGAATGTCACTTTTTTCTTTTGTAAAATACATGTAACAATCCTTACCACGTAGAGTTGCTGTGAAGATTAAATATGACAATGATGTAGACAAACACCTTACCCATTGACTCCACAAATGGCAGCTGTTATTGTCAGAGTAAACTGCCCTACTTCCTGCATAAGGCTGCCCTACTCTAATTTGCCATGCTAGCCATGGCATCAGAACACACTCCTCCCTTACATTATTCGATTGAAATAGACCTTCCAGGGTTAGGTTGTCTGCTTTTTTGTATGTCAATGTATCTTTTAAAAGATCTAGGCAGGGAGTGGTGGCTCATGCCTGTAATCCCACCATTTGGGGAGGCTGAGGTGAAAGGATCTCTTAAGGCCAGGAGTTTGAGACCAGCCTGAGAAACAAATTGAGACCCCATATCTACAAAAAAAGAGAGAAAAATAAAAAAATTAGCCAGGCATGGTGGCACAAGCCTATAGTCCCAGCTACACAGGAGGCTGAGGTAGGAGGATCACTTGGACTCCAGAGGTTGAAGCTGCAGTGAGCTATGATCGTGCCAATGCACTCCAGCCTGGGTGATAGAGAGAAACCCGTTCTCAAAAAATAATAATAAATAATAAATAATAAAATAAAAAATAAAACAAAAACAAAAAACAAACCAAAAAAACACACGAAAACAAATACCAATCTGTCATAGCCATAAAAAAGAATGAACTCATGCCCTCCCTCTACAGCAGCCTGGATGGAGCTGGAGGCCATTATCCTCAGTGAACTAACTCAGAAACAGAAAATCAAATACTGCATGTTCTTATCTACATGTGGGAGCTAAGCAGTAAGTTCACAGTAAGTACACTCCAACAATAAGTACACTGCAAAAAGGGGGAGAATGGGAGTAGGGGTGAGGGTTGAAAAATTAGCTATTGGATACTATATTCACTATTCAGGCGATAGGTACGCTAGCAGCCCAATTCCCACCAGAACATAATACCATGTTAACAAAAATACACATGTACCTCTTGAATCTAAAATAATTTTTTTTTAAAAAAGATCTGTCGTTGTGCTTAATTTCTTGGTTTTAAGGCCAAGTCTCCGGGTTCTTGATCCAAATCACAAGTGCTTTTGATAGATGCATTCAAATTTTTAAAAATATAGTCTAGAAAATCCTGTCTTTGAGAAGTTACTGTACTCAGATCAACTACCTCAGTATCTCCCCACATGTCCCACTGATGGATATACCTGCCTTTCTCCTATGCCATTAAAAATTATTGTTAGACTAATGTCCGAAGCCCTGTGTTTTTCTCATGCTACTTTTCTTAAAGTTTCAAGCTCCTACCTATTATGGACTATATCCTGTACAAATTTCTCTGCTTGACTTTCCCTACTTTGGTCCTGCTCTATATTTTCAACCTCAATTTTTCACTATTATACAAAATTTAAAAATTACTAATTGTTGGTGGGAGTGTAAATTAGTTCAAACATTGTGGAAGACAGTGTCGCAATTCCTCAAGGATCTAGAACCAGAAATAGCGTTTGGCCCAGCAACCCCATTACTGGGCATATCCCCAAACAATTATAAACCATTCTAATATAAAGACACATGCACACATATGTTTATTGCAGCACTATTCACAATAGCAAAGACTTGAAACCAACCCAAATGCCCATCCGTGTTAGACTGGATAAAGAAAATGTGGCACATATACACCATGGAATACTATGCAGCCATAAAAAAGAATGAGTTCATGTCCTTTGCAGGGACATAGATGAAGCTGGAAACCATCATTCTCAGCAAACTAGCACAGGAACAGAAAACCAAACACTGCATGTTCTCACTCATAAGTGGGAGAGAACAATGGGAACACAAGGACACAGGGAGAGGAACATTACACATTGGGGCCTGTCAGGGAGTAGGGGGGCAAGGGAAGGGAAAGCATTAGGAGAAATACCTAATGTAGATGACAGGTTGATGAGTGCAGCAAACCACCATGGCACGTGCATACCTATGTAACAAACCTGCACATTCTGCACATGTATCACAGAAATTGAAGTATAATTTAAAAATTACTGTAAAGTAATGAGGCTTATTTAAATAAAAACTAAATAACATGATCTCATATATTGAAATGAGGATTATTTATCAAATTGATCATGTTTAGAGGATTTATAACTCTCTTAGAAAAGTGCATATTCTTTGTTCTCATCAGGTTGTTCCCTTTTCAAGTGGTGGCCCACAGACACCACAGTCATGTCCTGTGACTCTTTTCCTCCTTTCCCCTGCTTGCAAAGCACTCAGTAATGCTCACCTTCAGTCTAGATTCTATCACTCATTTAAAGAGCTCTATACATGTTGACGAGCTAATCTTTTAATTTCTCTTTTCTCTGAACTTCTGTTGCACTTAAGTTAATAATATGTAGTCTGAACTTAATTCATCTTTGTCTCAGTACATCTCCACAGATAGATCTTAAACTACTTAGATTAAGGATTTCAATGATACATAATTATAATAACATAGTACCTCCATATCTTTCATAGTACTTATGACAATTCTGAGTTTAATAAATACTTGTGAATTACCCACTAGTTTTTTTTATTGTTTTTTAAGTTGAATACTATATACAAGTAAATTATGATGTAATACTGTCTATATTCTCAGAATACCGCATTGACCTTTGAAAATGGTTTCTAAAAGTATGTAAGTAGCCAGGTAAAATTCATTTGTGATTACTAAAATATTTTTGTCTGTGAATCTGTTTGAGTAAATACTGATGCTTATATTTGCTTATCAAAACAGAATGATGATAAAATCAGTTTTTAAAAATAAAGGCTTATACAATAACAGTATTTCTACTTACCCTGTAGAAAGAGGAATTTTAAATTTCTTAGTCTGTTAAGTTGTAGCTGGATCAAATTACAAATTCCATTGTAGCCCAAATGAAGAACTTCTAAACTGTGCATTATTGGAGGCAAATTTTCACTGTTCATTATGTCTCTGAAACACATAGGTAAGTTTGAGGCCATAAACTTAACTTCAAACCATGTATATTATAAAAAGACAGTTCGGTATGTGTTTACTATAAACTGAAGTTAAGAAAATATAAATTTATTAATATATCAGAATTAAGCTATAATACATAGTCTGTTTATATTTTATATAATATTCTTTAAAAAGAATGGTCTAGAATAAAGAAGTACATAAGGTGTTACAATGAAATCAATAGAAAATGCAATCAGGCAAGAAAAAAATGCATCCAGATTGGAAAGGAATAAATAAAACTGTCTTTATTTTCAGATGACATGATCCTGTATTTAGAAAATCCTAAAAGATCCACCAAAAAACTACTTGAAGCAATAAAGGAGTTTAGCAAGGTCACAGGATAAAAGATTAATATATAAAAATCAACTGAATTTTCTACCTACTAGCAATAAAAAATCTGAAAATGAAATTAAGCAAAAATTCTTTTTCACAAAGTATAAAAAAGAATAAAATACTTCAGCATAAATTAATAAAAAGTGGAAAATCTGTACACAGAAAACTACAAAACATTACTGAGAGAAATTAACAAAGATCCAAATAAATAGAGAAATATTCCATGTGTATGGATTAGAAGATTCCATATTACTAAAATGGCAATTCTTCCAAATTGATCAACAGATTCATTTAATACAATCTCTATCAAAAGCCCAGAAGACATCCCCCCTACTCACTGTGAATAACCATCTTGTCCTAAAATTTTTAAAGAAATGTAAAGAATCTAGAATAGTCAAAACAATCTTTTAAAAGAACAAAGTTGGAGAGCTTAAATCACTGATTTTAAAATTTTTTATAAAACCACAGTAATCAAACCAGTCTAGTACTGGCACAAAAGGACAGACATACAGATCAGTGGAACAGAACTGAGTACAGAAATAAACCCTTACATTTATGCTCAACTGATTTTTAGCAAAGGTGCCAAACAATTAAATAGAGGAGAGTGTTCTAATAAAATGGTGCTCAGACAACTGATATCCATATATCCACATACAAACCATATATACAACCATATATCCACATACAAAAACAGATTTAGACCTCACTCCTACCTCACAACATACACAAACATTTAACTCAAAACAGATCATAGGACTAGATGTAAGAGTGAAAACATAAAACTTTTTAAAGAAAACAAGAGAACATCTTTGTGACCTTAGGTTAGGCAAAGAATTATTACATATAACACCTAAATTGCAATCTGTAAGAGAAAAGTTGATAAATTAGACTTTATCAAAATTAAAATTCCTTCAAAGACATCATTTAAGAAAATGAAAAGAGAAGCCACAGATTGAGAGACAATGTCTGTAAATCATTTATTTAATAAAGGGCTTACACCCAGTATAAAGACACTTAATAATGAAAAGCCAAGCAACCTAATTAAACAATTAGGTTTTTTAGGTTTTAGATTTGAATAGAGATTTTACCAAAGAAGATATATGAATGATTAATAAGCATATGAAAAACTGCTCAACACTATTTGTCATTAGGAAAATACAAATTAAAACCACAATGAGATACCACTTCGAATGTATTAGAATGGCTATACTATAAAAGACAGGCAAGCACTGGCAGAGATGTGCAGGAATTAGAATTTTCATATGCTGCTGGTGATAATGAAAAATGGTGCAACCATTTGGGAAAACAGTTTAGCAGTTTCTTAAATAGCTAAATGTTAAGTTACCATATGACCCAACCATTCCATGCATAGGTATCTACCCAAAATAAACACAATGAAAATATGAGTGCACACAAATACTTGTACACAAGTGTTTAAAGCAATGTTATTCAAACCAGTCAAAAAGTAGAAACAATCCAAATTTCCATCAACTGATGAATAAACATTATGTAACATATCCATATAGTCATATCCATAGTGAAATAGCCAATATATTCAGCAATAAAAATGAGTGAACTACTAACACATCCTATAATGTGAATGAACCTTGAAAACATGCTGAGTGTAAGAAGCCAGAGGCAAAAGACCACCTATTTTATAGTTCCATTTATATGCAATGTCTAGAAAAATACAATTCTAGAAAACAGATTAGAGGTTGTTTGGGACTAGAGGTGGGAAAGGAAATTGACTATAAATAGACATGAAGGATCTTTTTGGTGAGATGGAAAATGTTATGAAATTATATTGCAGTTATTATACAACTATAAATTTAGTAAAATTATTGAATTATACATTTAATATAAGTAAACATGATACATAAACTGCCACTTCAATAAAACTATTAGAAAAATCAAATATGAATAGGATCCAAAAAAGTATGTATATAAATGAAATGTTCATAGTAGCTTTAATCATAATAGCCTAAAATTAGGAACAACCAAAATGTTCATCAATGATACAAGCATAAATAACTTGTCATATAATACATATAATAGAATACTATTTGGCAATAAAATGAAATAAATTACTGACACTTGCAACAAAATGAATGAATCTCAAAAGCATTATGCTAAGTAAAAGAAGCCAGACACAAAAACTACTTACTACATAATTCCAATTATATGAAATTCTAGAAAAAGGTGAAATTACAGCAAGAGAGCAGATTAGTGGTTGTTGCCAGGTGCCAGGGTGTCAGGGGAGGGATTACAAATGAACTTTTTGGAATGGGAATACTTTGTATTTTGATTGTGGTAGAGGTTTTATGATTGAATACATTTGTCAAAATTCATTAAACTTTACACTTAAATTGGTCAATTTTGTTGCATGGAAATTATACTTCGATAGAGGTAATAAAAAGCACAAGGAATGTTCTTTATTGGGAAAACTGGAATGAAAGTATTCTGATTTGGAGATACACATTATAAATATATATATCATATATATGATATGTATTATATGATATGATATATATATGTTCTATCAAAATATGTAAGGAGGTGGAAGGTTTGTCTTCATTTTTTGCGTAAAGTATATATTCCATTGGTGCTGAGTCATTAAGTGACCAGATAAATAATTTAGAAATAAAAGCAAAACAAATGCTTAAAAAAAAAACCCATTTCCATGCTACTGTGTATAGGGTTCCTTTGTGGGTTGATAAAAATGTTTATGATGAATAAACTAAAAATTGCTAAATTGTACACACAGGGTGAGTTTTATGGTATGTGAATTGTACCTCAATTTTTAAAAAAGAAACCCAAGGTCACCAAACATGCAGTACAAGGCCTTTTGTTTGTTTGTTTTTTGTTTTTTTCCCTTTGCTCACAATACAGGTTTGAAATGGAGAAGGCAGGGAGTAAACAATGAGAGAAATATTTTGAGTACCTTTTTATTTATGAAGTTTATTTTTGGCATGTAGCTATAAATAAAATAGGTATTACAATAAGCTAAATGTTATGTACTGGAATGTGTTACTGCTATCATTAATGTGATTAACTGCTTTTAAAATTCCCAGCCAAAATTAGTTATAATCATAAAAATAAAGAATACTACCTGTTTGTTTTTGAAATTCCTTGCTGTCCATAGCCACTTGAAGGCACTTTCTGGTACAGTAGTTGTCTATTGGTTAAGTGAGTCTGAGGCTTTAGTCTGGGCATGATTGATTCAATATGATTATAGTTGAGGCATAAGACCTACAGAAAGAATATCTTTTTAATCAGAAATCCTGGAAATTATTAAAAATTGTATGGATAAAACTTGGCATATACCACATAATTTAATAATATATTAGTGCTAAAACAACAAATGTTTATATCCTAAATAATCTAGACTTAGTTTTGAATGTGTTTTTAATCTGACATTCTGGGAAATTACAATACTTCACATGGAGACTCTAGAAAGCTCCTCAGCTTTCTCAATCTGTACTCCTGATTTCTCCAAACCTGACAAGGATGAAATAATTTTTAGTTGAAGAGACAGCTATTTATCTATGTTTAAAAGGCCTTAGTAGATGGCTGAGTCAAGGAAATAATAAAGGAGGCAATAAGGCCATTTAAAGAACCTAGAAACTTCTTTCCATATCTGCCTTCAATCCCATCTCTGACTACAGAGGAAAATTTACTACATATGTGACAATCACATAAAACTGAGGTCAAAGCAAAATCACTTTGGAAGGTAATAGTTTTTTTCTTGCTTAGTAAAAAAACAAACAAAAAAAACCCAAAGAAAATTTAGGAATAATTTATCTACTTTAATAATGTGGAAATATCATTTAATCCAAAGTAAAGAAGATAAAAACTTGCACTGGAAACCTTGAAAGAAAGAAAAATTTGTGAATGACTCACCTTCACATTAGGTAGATAGATTAATCCACTGAATGAAGTAAGATTATTGTTCTGTAGATTCACATTACATACATTTCTAAATTGGTCGACTGGAATCAAATCCACTGTTCTGAATTTAGACAAATACAGTTACTATTTTAATAGGACAGGAAAATATAGGAAAAGGTGAGTTCCTTCACATATAGCCACCAAAGACATAAAAAAAAGTCTCACCTGACAAATATAAAAATAATTACTTTAATGTAAAATGAATTGGTTAAATGATTAGCTGAATATACATTTTGGTTGGGTACATATGCAAGAAAGTGACATAGAATTTGGTTGCTTTCAAAAAAAATCTATTACCATATAAACATAGCACTATTATAGAAGAAACTTGTAAAAGAGACATTCCACTTTCTTTATAAATTCACATATATGTTCATGAAATCATAGTGAAGTTGATATAGTAAATCATAAGATTTTCAGGTTATAAACTTCAGATGATATATATGAAGCAGGTCATTTCTAAAATACCAGGAAGTGGCTAGGGATGGGAAAGGAAAGGAAAAGCAGGTGAGGGCTTTGAAAATAAGAGTTTCTGTGAGATCTTCTGGAAACCTTTATTGCATTCCACCCTGTGTGAACATTTTGGTAATTAAACAGAATGCTTGATTCACAGTCCATAGCTATATCTTCATTTGAGCCATGACAGAGAAGAGCATAAAACTACATCCCTTTCCCTAACCAGTTCTCTAAACAAATCCTAAACTTGAAGTTACAATTATGACATACTTTTACCCATTAATAAGTTATTCATTCATTCAACATAATTTCATTAGTATTTCCTAAGTGCAGTGAATGTGTTTGGAAAGGCTACAAGAAAGATGAAAGAAACGTTTCAGCCCCCAAGAAGAGGGAGCCAGAAAAATGAAAATAAAGAGGAGAATTGCTATGATAGAGTTAGCATCTCTATCATACCAATGTAATGGCATTTCGGGGAAATAAAATCTGTAGCATGGAGCAGAAAGATCTTGAGATGATATTTGGAGCATTTGTAGGTATTTGTCGAGCAAATTAGCAGAAAAGAGTTCTAGGCAGTGCAACAGGTACAAACAAAGGCAGAAACAAACATGAAAAAATATCTTATGATTGAGATTCAGTAACTAGAATATTTCAGAATTCCTGAAATATGAAGTGTCATGGGCAGTAAAGAAAAGGACTACAATAGATAATAATGGACAGATAATAAAGGGTCTTTTATGCCATACAAAGGAATTTTTAATTTTAGGCTGGGCACAGTGGCTCACACCTGAAATCCCAGCACTTTGGGAGACTGAGGCAGGTGAACCACTTGAGCCCATGATCGGAGACCAGCCTGGCAAGATGGCATAAATGCTGTCTCCACAAAAAATACAAAGAAAATTTGCCATGCTTGGTGGCATGTGCCTATAGTAGGAGGATCGATTGAGCCTGCAAGGTTGAAGCTGCAGTGAGCCATTTTTTGAGACCCCATCTTAAAAAACACGCATTACTTAGCATGAACCTTTGCAGTAGAGTAGATAATTTTATGAGTTATTGATTATATTTATATAAGATGTATACATTTATAAGCTTCAGAAAAATGATAATTTTATAATGTAATTATAATGTAAAAAGGCATATAATAAAATGATTGTACCTAATGGATGATGAAGTCCAATTTAGTTCTTGCATTTGCATGAAGTTGGAATGCCCTTGTCGTTCTGCAATCATGTCAGAAGTAAGTCTACCACCAAACAAATCTTTTGCATTCTCAGTCTCTGGTGGTTCCTATATGAAGGCATTTACAAAATGATGTCCTGTCTTACAGATGACTAAATTATGTAGTTCTCTGATTTCAGGTAAAAGTTCAGTGGACTTATTTTTCCAGATTCCTCCTACTAAGTATAACTAAATCCTGTGCATTATATATAAAACAAACATATGCAGGGCAAGGTGGCTAATACCTATAATCCCAGCACATTGGGAGGCCAAGGTGGGAGGATTGCCTGAGTCCAGGAGTTCGAGATGAGGCTGGGCAACAAAGTGAGACCCTGTCTCTACAAAAGCAAAATAGAATTATTTAAGCACAGTGGCACATGCCTGTGTATGTAGCTATGTGGGAGGCTGAGGCCAGAGAATGTCTTGAGCACAGGAGTTCAGAGGCTGCAGTGAGCTATGATCATGCCACTGGATTCCAGTCTGAGTGACAGAGTGAGACCCTGTCTCTAAAAAATTTTTTAATTAAAAAAATTAAAACCAAACATATGAATACTAAAAGATGCGGAGAAGGCAGCAGACCAGGTAGGTACCTCAGGACCTGAGGAATGACACCCTGGATTTTCTTTTTGCCTCACCTTCTCTACTGGGTGCTAGAGAAGCTAGAAACCCAGAAATGACAATAAGAAAAAAACAAGACAAAGTACACAAAAAGCCTACTGTCTCTAGTCAAAGGATCAGGAAAGGGGAAGCCTAGCACAGCAGAAAACTTTAGACAATAACAAGCCTACTCCTGCTAAACCCTACAGAATAAACTGTGGCCCCAACTTCATGCCCACAAGTAAAAGCAGAATGGGCTGCTTAGACTTTAACCTGTGCTCATTTGTAACAAGGCACTTCTCCATTATCCACCTGCTGAGTGGGAACCTGGACTTTCATCCCCCGTCAGCAGTAACACATGGCCCCACTCCCTACCTGCAAGTGTTATTGTAGATAACATGCGGAGTCTGGATTCCCACTTCTACCCACTCATAATGAGTTATCTGTGGAGCATCAATTAGGTGTTCCTGTCTCTCCCAGCCAGGATGAATCAGTGGAGGGAAATAGTAACAAGGAGTTCCTTCCTTCCCAGCCCGAGTAAATCAATGGAAGTCTGGTGGGGAGCATGAACTCCTACTCTAGCCTAGCAGTTAATGAACAGCACACCTCCAGGTTGTCAACAGAGGCCACATGGAGGAACTTGGACTTCTATCTCCCACCTGACAGCAACGAAGTGGTTCCCCATCTTCTCACTGGTATAGTGTCAAGGGGAGGCTTGCTAAAATAGAAATAAGACCCACATAATACCCCAAATGTCCAGAATAAAATAAAAAATATGTCATGCTAAGAACCAATAACATCTCAACTTGAATGTGAAAAGACAATCGACAGATGCCAACTTTGAAATGATACAAATATTTTTAATTGTCTGACAGGCATTTCAAAGCAGTCAAAGGAAAAATGCTCAACAAGCGATTATGAACATACTTGAAACAAATGAGAAAACAGAAACCTTTAGCAAAGAGATAAGTGATAGCAAAGCAATAGAAGATATGAAGAATGAAATGAAAATTTTAGAATTGAAAAATACTATAAACAAATAAATGCAATGGATAGGGACTCAATAGCAGAATGGAGAGAAAAGAGAAAAAAATAACTTAACTTGAAGACAGAACAATAGAAATTACCCAGTATGAACAAAAGAGAGAAAATAGACCCATAAATAAATGAGCCTCACTTTACCAAGACAGACATATCCTGTACTTGCGGAACCATACAAAAGATTTAATATTAGTATCACTAGATTCATAGAAAAAGGAGAGAAATAATGTGAGGCTGAAAAAGTATTTGAAGAAATTATAACCAAAAATCTTCCAAATTTGGCAAAAGACATAAACCAAGAAGCTAAGAATCTAATCAAACCTCAGATGGGAAAAAAACCCAAATCCATGCAAGGACACGTAATAATAATCAGAATCAAATTTCTAAAAACTAATGACAGAGAAAAAAGGCATGAAAACAATGACAGAGGAATTAAATCTTACCTGTGAGGGAAAAACAATGTGAGTGACAGCAGATTTCTAATCACAAAGCATGGAAACCAGAGGATGTGGCACAACATTTTCAAGTGGTGAAAGAGAAACATCAACCCAGAATTGTATACCCAGGGAAAATATCATTCAGAAATAAAAAGAGAAAGCAAGACATTCTCAAAGGAAGGAAAACTAAGCAAACTGTTACCAGCAGACCTACCTTAAGAAATGACTAAAGAAAGTTCTTGAAATGGAAAGAAAAAAAAAGGAATCTTGGAATGCCAGGAAAGAGGAAAGCACAATGGAAAGAGTATTAATAAACTTCCCTTCTTTTCTTGATTTTTCTAAGTTATCTTTGATTAGTTGATGTAAAAAAAAACCTATAATATTGTCTCATTGGTTCTCAATGTATATAGTGAAAATATAAACAGGGGAGAAGAAATAGACTGAAAGGAAAGTAACATTTCTACCCTTTACTCAAACTGGTAAAATGTCAACCCTAACAGACTATAATAAAGTATGTATATGCATTGTAATACTTAGAACAACCACTAAAAAAACTATATGGAGAGATACACCAAAAAACACTATGGATAAATAAAAATAGATTTTCAAAATGTGTTCAAGAAGCTCACGGGAAGGCACAAAAAAAGAAAACAGAAGAAAGATAAACAAAGGAAACAAATATAAAACAAGAAAACAAAGTGGCAGACTTAGGCCCTAACAGGTCAGTTAACTATATTAAATATAAATGGCCTTTGTTCATCAATTAAAATATAAAAATTAGCTAAAAGATAACATGATCCAACTGTATGTTGTCAACAAGAAACTCACTTCAAATATAATATATGCAGGTTGAAAGTAAAAGAACAGAAAAAGATATCCTATACATTAATCAAGAGAAAGCAGGAGTGGCTTCATTAACCTCAGATAAAGTAAACTTTGAAGCAAAGGAAATTACCAGAGTCAGAGGGGACATTACCTACTGATAAAAGGGTCAGTCCACCAAGAAGACATAACAGTCTTAAATGTGTATGTACCAACAACAGAGCTGTAAAATATTTGAAGCTAGAGTCCCCCATTATTTTAGCCAATGATGTAGGTATTGCTGTGAAGGAATTTTGTAGACATAATTAAAGCTCCTAGCAAGCTGACTTTCAATAAGGAGATCATCTTGAACAATCTGGATGGGCGTGATTCAAACAATTGCAAGGCTTTAAAAGCAGAGGTGAGGTTCCTGAAAGCATTTTCCTGAAGAAAATCCACTCATGGACAGCAGCTTTCATCTATGCCTGTGAGCCCCAGCCTGCCCATAATCTTCGCTTCCTGATGGCCTGTCCTATGGATTTCCGACTTGTTTAAGCAGTCCCCTCCATTATTAAATATTCCTTGATATCTATATATCTATATTTAGACATAGATATCTCTATATGTATATCTGTCTTACTAGTTCTGTTTCTCTTGTTGAATCTTCAATAATAAAATCTCAAAATAAGTTTTAAAAACATTAATTCAGCCTTAGAAATACCATTGCTTTTGTGTTTTTCATAATTATACAAGCAACATATGATTAGTGTCCTCCTAAATCAGGGATTGGTAAATGTTTTCTACAGTTTTTCTGTAAAGAGTCAGTCAATATTTTAGCCTTTGGGAACACTAGCTTCTCTGTTACTATTTAATTTTGCCACTGCAGTGTGAAAGCAGTCATAGACTATATATAAACAAACAGGCATGGATGTGTTCCAATAAACTTTTATTTACAAAAATAAGTGGCAGGTCACATTTGGCCCAAGGGCTATTGTTGACAATCTATTTCAGACAAATGGTTTGAACTTGATCTAAATAAAACTGGTAAGTCATTTGATCTACTTTTACTCAAACTCCCTTCTTTTTTTCTACTTTGTTAAAACTTCATATCTAAATTGAGAATATGTATCCTTAATGCAAAAAATAATTTTTTAAAAATAAAAGTATGTGGGAACAAAAGATAAAATGAAAACACAACTACCCAAATCGTTCTTTGGTTCCTCCTAGTCTATGCCCTCCCTAGGTTTCTACTCCCACTCCAAAGAAGACAATGTAATTATATATCTAGAAAGTGTTGGACAGAGAGTGAGGCTCATGTGCCCATGATTTACCATTAAACAGTCATATAATTTGGAAGAAGTCATGTAATTTCTCTAGAGTTGCTTGTGTTCATACATAAAATAAAAGATTTTGACTATGCCATTTCCAAAGTCTATTTATATCTCAGACACTCTAGCATTATATATTACTGTATTACCTACCTCTGCACCCACTTTTCATGACTTCTTTTTCTACATATGTTTAATAAATGCAAGTATTAGAGCCTCACTTAGATTTCTTTACTTTCTCTACTCTCTTTCATTAGACAATATTGCATATGCTTTTGGTCTTAACTGTTAACTCTCTTCAAATTACATTCAAGTCCAAACATATGTAAAGTAAATTTTCATATGCAAATTTAATCCTGTGATTTCAACTGCCTGCTTGACATCTCCAGTCAGATGATCTCCATATAAAACTAAAGTCCAATACTAATCATCTTACACCCCCAAATTGCTTTTCTTCCTATATTCATATTCTGTTATGGTGTCTTTTATTGGCATAGACTCAAACCTTGTAGACATCTTTCAGTCTTCCTTTCCCTTGCCCTTCAAATCCAATGCATTCCCATTACCTTGCATTTAAAATCTAAATTCTTCAGTCTAGTCTTCAAGATGTCCAATTATTAATTCATACATTTATATTCTGCCTCATTCCACAAATAATTTGTGGCAGCTTACAGGAAACACATATAATCAAAGAGTAAAATGCAAATCAAACATAATGAAAATCAAGCTCACTAGGATTAGTGACAAAAAGACTATAAGATCCTATAGGGTTTATATTATTGAATCATAAATTTGGTCCTGAGCTTTTAGGTAAAGCGAAAAGGAATATAATTAAATAATACTCATTGATATGGATTGGCTCTGTGTTCCCACCAAAATCTCATCTTGAATTGTAATAATCCCCTCCTGTTTTGGGAGGGACCCAGTGGGAGCTCAGTGAATCACAGGGTGGGTTTTTCCTGTGCTGTTCTCATGATAGTGAATAAGTCTCATGAAATCTGATACTTTTATAAAGGGGAGTTCCCCTGCACAGGCTGTCTTGCCTGCCACCATGTAAGACCTGCCTTTGCTCTTCCTTCATCTGCCATGATTGTGAAGCCTTCCCAGCCATGTGGGACTGTGAGTCCATTAAACTTCTTTCCTTTATAAATTACACAGTCTCAGGTACGTCTTTATTGGCAGCATGAGAACAGACTAATGCAGTAAATTGTAGAGTCATGTGCTGCTGTAAAGATACCCAAAAATGTGAAAGAGACTTTGGAACTGGGTAACAGGCAGAGGTTGGAACAGTTTGGAGGGCTTAGAAGAAGATGGGAAAATGTGGGAAAGTTTGTAACTTCCTAGAGACTTGTTGAATGGTTTTGGCCAAAATGCTGATAGCGATATGGACAATAAGGTCCAGGCTGAGGTAGTCTCAGATGGAGAATAAGGAACCTGTTGGGAACTGGATTAAAGGTCACTCTTGCTATGCAAAAAGATTGGTGAGATTTTGCCACTGCCCTAGAGATCTGTGAAACTTTGAACTTGAGAGAGATGATTTAGGATATCTGGTGAAAAATTTCTAAGTAGCAAAGTGTTCAAGAGGAAGCAAAGCATAAAAGTCTGAAAAATTTGCAGCCTGATGATGCAGTAGAAAAGAAAAACCCATTTTCTGGGGAGAAATTCAAGCTAGCTACACAAATCTGCATAAGTAACAAGGTGCCAAATGCAAATCACCAAGAGAATGGGGAAAATGTCTCCAGGGCATGTCAGAGACCTTCATGGCAGCCACTCCCATCACAGGCCTGGAGGCCTAGGAGGGAAAAAATGATTTCCTGGAGCAGTCCAGGGCCCTAATACTGTATGCAGCCTGGGGACTTGGTACCCTGTGTCCCAGTCACTCCAGTCATGGCTAAAAGGGGCCAATGTATAGCTCAAGCCATGGCTTCATAGGGTGCAAGCCCCAAGTCTTGGCAGCTTTGAAATGGTGTTGGTCTTGTGGGTACACAGAAGTCAAGAACTGAGGTTTGGGAACCTCTGCCTAGATTTCAGAGGGTGTATGGAAATGCCTAGATGTCCAGGCAGAAGCCTGCTGCCCTCTGCTAGTGCAATGCCAAAAAGAAATGTGGGGTGGGAGACCCCACACAGAGTCCCCACTGGGGCACTGCCTATTGGAGCTATGAGGAGAGGACCACCGTCTTTCAGACCCCAGAATGGTAGATCCACCCACAGCTTGCACTGTGCAACTGGAAAAGCCACAGACACTCAATGCCAGCCTGTGAAAGCAGCTGGGAGGGAGGCTGTATCCAGCAAAGCCACAGGAGTGGAGCTGACTAAGGCTGTGGGAGCCCACCTCTTGCATTAGCATGACCTGGATGTGAGACATGGAGTCAAAGGAGATCATTTCAGAGCTTTAAGACTTGGCTGCCTCACTGGATTTTGGACTTGCATGGGGCCTGTAGCCCCTTTGTTTTGGCCAATTTCTCCCATTTGGAATGGGTGTATTTACCCGATGCCTGTACCCACATAGTATCTAGAAAGTAACTAACTTGCTTTTGATTTTACAGGCTCATAGGCAGAACGGACTTGACTTGTCTCAGCTCACACTTTGGACTGTGGAATTTTGAACTAATGCTGAAATGAGTTGGGGGACCGTTGGGAAGGCATGATTGGTTTTGAAATGTTAGATCATGAGATTTGGGAGGGGCCAGGGGTGGTATGATATGGTTTGGCTCTGTGTTCCCACCCAAATCTCACCCTGAATTGTAATAATCCCCACGTGTCATGGGAGGGACCCAGTGGGAGGTAATTGAATCATGGGGTTGTGTTTTTCTTATGCTGTCTCATGATAGTGAATAAGTCTTATGAGATCAGATGGTTTTATAAAGGGGAGTTCCCCTGCACATGTTCTCTTGCCTGCTGCTATGACTTTGCTCTTCCTTTGTCTTCCATTATGATTGTGAGGCCTCCCTAGCCATGTGGAACTGTAAGTCGATTAAACCTCTTTCCTTTATACATTGCCCAGTCTTGGGTATGTCTTTTTAGTAGCGTGAGTTGAGACTAATACACTCATTGTCAGTAAGCAGAACATAACTTTTCCTTGGGGTAAATGTTTTTCTTACATTTATTTCTATAAGTGCTTTCTCATGTGGCCCTTCAAATGAGGTCACAGAGAGATAGGACAGATAAGATCCTCAACACCTTTAGAGTAAATGCAGTACTGGTCTCATAGGAGTATTTTAAAAAACATTCTTCAGTGAAAGCTAACAACTAAATAAAGCCCAGAATACAAGGTTCTAGGGAATTTGTATGTGTTGGAGTGAGAAAGTTTTAGTGACCCATTCTGAGGAGGGTCCAGAAAACAGAAGGGCTAGGATTAGTAATCTTCTGGGAGTACCTCAGAATACTAAATGATCATGAACTATCTTTCAATTTTCTAGAAAATTTGATGTGTTTTCTTCTCTGATAGGAGCTAGGCAACATTACACAGGGAAACCTTTTACTCTTTACACATTTGTCACGCATTTACCCTGTTATGTGGAAAACAGGAGCCCTATGAATTTGCTCGTTATAGAATCCAAGTATCCAAATGTTGCTTTCACATTCAGTCCTAGGGTCTGTGTCTGTTTTTCTTTACAGCTTACTTAGTAATGTTGACATACCACGTTTGTTGGTTCAAATATATTTTTATTAATTATTAATATTAGCAACTATATTTTCACTGAAAATAGAAAGCTGCTTTTAGGCTTAAGAGGATGGTGAAGCTCCAGTGCATAATTTTTCTATCTTGCCCCATAAAATTGTGTTCTTTACCTTTTAGGCACTGAATTCAATGGGTTCTATTGTAAGCAGCACAACCCTCCCCTTCCACCACAATTCGGACAATTAAGAATTGACCAGATGACAAAATTTAAAAACCCAGATCTAAAATAAGCTTTGGAGACTTAGATTACAAGTATAATAAATTTGGCTATCATGCTAGTGATAAAGCAATGTTCAAAATGACCATGTCCTGTGAATATGTGACTGCAGCTTAGACCAAATGTTATGAGTCATAAAACAACTTACAATTGATATCCCATCCAAAGCTTTCAGTTCTGGAAGATGAAATATTACAAACAACCGGTAGTTTTCTTGATTCCATATAATAATGTTTCCACACATGTCTAGAATGACCAAGTTGCATAAACCCTAGGTAATAAAATACATATATTTATCTATATGTATATTTAAAGCACTCTAGTAAGAGGTTAGCCATCCTCAAATTTTAATACTGGAATTATATTAGCTATCTTTCCATGGGATTTCAGTGCTTTTAAGTACTTTTTTTTTTTTTTTTTTAAAGACATGGTCTTATGCTGTTGCTCAGGCTGGAGTGCAGTGGTCAGATCATAGCTCATTGCAACCTCAAACTCCTAGGCTCAAGTGATCCTCCCACCATGGCCTCCCAAAGTGCTGAAAATTATAGGCATAAGCCATCATACCCAGCCTAAGTACACTTTTAAGAGCAAGCGTTACCCTTTCAGACCACTAAGGTATAATTCTGTGCAATATTTCAATGGTCTATGTTATAAAATCAGAGTCTCTTTTAGGATACTAGTGCCAAACGTATTATCTATTAATGGTAAGGGCTTAGAGGGAACTTTGCTATGTTCAAGACAAATACACTTTATTTATGGAATAATGGCTTAATAAATGGATGTATGTGTCTATATAGATATAACAGGAATAAAAGACACTGCTTTTTGAAAAGCGATGAAACTGAACTGCTTCTACTTTCTGAGAGGGTAGTAGAATTCATCCTAAGGGAAATGTGCTGTTTTATTAGACAAGACACTTTGATATGCCTTTGTTGTGAAGGAAGGGTCTTGGTAGGTATGGAAGGAGAGGTGAAGACAAGAGGGAGTAAAACTACTGTGCATCATAATGTGAAATGGCTTATTGTGTTGCTGGTGTTGTTGATTAGGTTGCCTCCCTAGCTCTATAAGTAGTAATTATATTGGGGGAATAGAATGGGGAGAAGTCTGAACTAAGAAAAGACAGGAAATGGACACAAGTTTTTGGTAGGAGATAAAGTCCTAGTAATATTGTATCAGCAAAAGGAGAGGCCAGTGTAAGACCCATAGTGTTAGAAAATGGCCACTGAACTTTAGAAACAATGAAGTCAAACATGACATTTGAAGTCGATTCTTGTTCTGTGCTATAGAAACCCTCTGTTTTGTTCAAACCTTTAGTAAATCCTATTACACAATAGCCTTAAATTAGTGGTTTCTTTGGGGGAATTAAAGAAAGCAAATCTGAGCAAAGGTGACCGAATTTGAGCCACTGCTAAGAGAACAGTGAGAGATCATCAAGAATTGTACTGAGAACGGGAGAATGCTAAAGAATCCCTGGAAATATGAAGAAGGCACTAGTTAGGAAGAATAGGTTTGGTTTATCATACTTGAGTATTAAAAAAAGTTACCCCAGAAGGATAGCAAATGGGGACATTATGTATACACAGATATATATTTGTATGTATACAAAATTGAATGCAAATACATTTTAATAACCTTGTTATTCTTATTTTTATTTTCTTTATATTTTCCAAATTCTGTGCAGTAAACATGCATTACTTTCATAATATAAATAAACAATACATATTTTAAAAAACAAAAAAATTACTACCCCAGATGATTACCTTTAAATTGTACATCTCCTGATTGACAGCAATATAGTTATTGCTTATGTATAACTCAACAAGAGTAAAAGATTTTTGTAAACCACTCAATGAAGTGATTCTGTTGTTCTCAAGAGAAAGGGAGTGAAGATGAAGCATATTATCAAAGGTATGCTGTTCCAAACCAGTGAGAAGATTATTATTTATGCTGAGGCGAGTTAATTTAGTCATCTTGGAAATACCTAGAAAAATAAGCAAATTCAAGAAAAGATTCAGGTAACACTAAAGGGATAATTTAAAAAATAACTGGCTGGTCATTTTATTGTAATCAAATAGCTAGGCTCAAATGGCTTTAAAGATTGTGTAATACTAACCATATTGCTTTTCCCTTTGTTTTGGAAGAATATAATCTTGTATATAAGCCCCATCTCAAACATTAAATTCAAATTTTGTATTTCTAAGTAGATTCCTTCTTCTTAGGAGTTAAGGAAAGGCATTACATGAACATATTGAATTTCTCTTTCAAATAACCTTAAAATGATGTAATTAATTAAGATTTTCACCATTTTGAAAACAAAAAGCTCTACACAAAGCTGAAAATAATCACCAGCCCTCATTTTTAAACATTAAGGGGAAGGAACCACATTCTGGAAAGTGCATCCTTTGTATTAAAATGAACGATTTAGCCTACTTTTACTTTCATATGCCTAAAAGTACTCTAAGATGGAAGTTTAGAAAATAGGACCAGTCTAACTCCTGCATACATTATGTACTGCAAGCACTTTATAAGTATAGCCAGGCTGGTGCAGTTGAAAGACAAGAACTTCGGAATCTTAGTTGGCTTCAAATGTATCACTACTAGGTTTGTGGTGATACATAAATTATGTAACTGCTGAGCCTTAATTTCCTCATCCAAGGAGTTATGAAACTCCATACTTCCAAGGAGTTATGAAATTAAATGGAATAATGTTTGGAAAGTATCAAATAATTATCTGTGGTCCCTTTCACATTAGTTCCTATTGTGGGACTGTACAGTGTTGAAGGTGAATCAATCCAGGGCAAGACAGGATCAAAGCCATCAGAGCAAAAATCATTAAATGGATATGGAACCTACCCATGTGTGAAAAAAAAGGAGAAACTCCTGTTAAAGTTTAGAGGGGTAGCTATCTTCTCCAAAATGTAGGCGTAAGAAAAATACAGATTGGAAGATTCTTCTGTTTATTAAGTTTATGGAAGGAAATGAAAAGGAAATAGGGTTTTTAATTGTTATGTACAAAGCAAAACTAATACCCAGCTGTAGGGGAATGGGAGACTGGTGATAGTTCTAGACACAGGTGCCTGAGCTACCCCTAAGTTTACTCTACTGAAATCTACAGAAGAGAGGCCTGTGAATCTGTGTCTTCAATAAGTATCCCAAGTGATTCTCATGATCAAGAAAGTTTTAGAAACATATTGTTAACAACCATTAAAATGAAATATTTAACAAATGTTATGTATGCTTTCTTAGATATATTTAATACTTGCTTTTATATATATAATTTTTTGAAATCAAATCTTCTGTTTTATGAAAAATGTAGTATATACACATGCTAAAAATAATCCAATTCAAAAATGAATAAAGTATAAATTCCCTTTCCCAGCCATGATTTCTAATTCTTACCTTCTCTCCTTGACAAACACAACCATGTTACCAAAATGCACATACAGAAATATTCTTTATTCAGATAAGTGTATGTGTGTATACACATATACATATTTCTCTTTTCAATCAAATAGTGCACACTTGTGGAAATATTTTTTAATTTCTAGGAGTTAGTTACTCTTTTGAGTAGATGGAGAGGGAGAATAAGAGAAAGTTGGTAGCAAGTCATGGAAAGCTTCCTTCAATTTCTTTCTAATGAAGGTAAGAATAAAATAAAGCTGGGGAGGAGTCAGAAAATACTTGACTTGGTAGTATATATTCTGGGACACGTTCTCTAAACTCATGATATTTAGCTGTTGATAAGCATAAATCCAAATGAAGAGAAGAATCTAAGAAGCGTGGAAGGGGAAAGGGAGGAAAAGTCTTTTTTATTCTCTCTGGTTCAGAAAAATATGTTTTAACACTGAACTTTAAACAGTCAAATAAAATATGTTATATTGGTATCATTATTATTAAGATATTACTAAAGCTGCTTAATTGGACTTGTATGTGGATCCATGGAAAAGGTTACATATAGTATATTTTATTTTCAACCTCTAATGAGTATAATTTTCATTTTTTGTTGAAGTATTCAAATTTCCAAATATAACCTTAATTTTATATTTTTAAAACAGAACTAGTCTGCTTCATCTTTTTCAAAAGCATATCTCATTCATTTGTGCATTCAACTTTACAGACGTTAATGACTAACTAGTTGGTATGTGCTAGTGTTTGGTAACAGATTATAAACTAGCACAGAGGAGAGGAGAGAGAAGGCACAGGAGATAAAGTCAGCTTGCCGGGCTCATATAAAGTAAAATAGTCACAAATTCCATGAATAGGTATGAACTTGTTTTAATTTTTTATTTATCTTTTATTTCTTAATTGGACAGATAATATTGTATCTATTTATCTTGTACAACATGATGTTTTGAAGTATATATATATATTGTAGAATGGTCCAATATAGCTAACTAATAGTTGTATTACCTCACGCAGGTATTTAGAATACTCTGCCACAAAACTTAACTTTCCTAGAGATCTTCCTCTTCAGAAACTCTGTTCTCAGGGTTATTTTTTGCTTTGTTGTTTAGACATCCATATTTTGAGACTTCAAAGTTCTTAAGTACCTTACCTTCTATCTTTGAGATGCAGTTTCCATCTAATGTGAGCTCTTCCAAGTTAATACAGGATTCCAGACCCTCCATTTTAGTGAGATTATTATTGCTGAATGATGCCCATTTCAAATTTTCCAATTTTTCTAAATTTGTGATTTCAAAAAGATGTTGTCCATCTAAATTTAAGGCAGTTATCTGTAGAATAATTTACATTATATGTTATTTCTAAATCTTATAAATAAATTCAGTTAATGTTAGTAACATTTTAAAAAGCTAATGAAATAATTCAAATGTGATAAGTAGGTATCAAAAGAATTCCTTCAGGAATATTATGAAGCTATTAGTTTACAGAAAAGTAAAATTTGACAAGATTATAACTCCAAGAAGGACTTATATGGTATTAAGGACACTGTGATGAGCTAGAGTCCCATTGCAGTAATGGACTTGTCCCCAGCTGCTGGGAGTGCTTCTGGCAGAGAGCCTTCAGCTGTCAGTCCCCTGCAGGGACTGCCTTGCTGTAGACAGCTGCCAAGATCACGCTCCTTCCCAGGTTGGCCCTCAGCCAGTGATGGAGGCATATAAAGGCCTGACCATCTCAACCCAACTTAGGACAAATTTAAAGGGCCATTCTGGCTCCTCTAACTCTGGAACTGCCTGTGGGTCAGCCAAGGCTGTCACTGGGCCTTCATTTGCAGCTCAATATCTATATATATCTTGTAATAAAAGTAATGCGAGTAATATCTCCCATTTTCAAGGAGCAGCTTCACTTAGCCCAGTTTCTATGTTTGGCAAGAGGTATAAGGACACCTAATGTAGCAAGAAGCTGCTAGTGTTCTATGACCTTTTCCCTTATCCTTGGCTGAATTCTGACCAGCTCCCCTACTCCCTTGTCAGGATACCTGACTCTTGCTGTCCAAATTTTGGCTTGATCTCTGGCTCTGAGTCTTTAATGTTTGCTTGCCTATTCTGACATGTTATCAGAATCCAGAATTAGAATGGCCCTTTAAATTTGTCCTTCAGTTTTAGTGCACCTTTATCTTAAATTTCCAATTCTGTGGCGAGCGCAGTCAAGGCCCAGCCCATCTGACACAGCCACTCATGACTTGACCTCCCTGTTTTTTATTTTTTGGAATATGACAAATGTATTACTTTTTTCTAATAATAACAATGTCTTTCTTATTTTTATTTTTTCCAACTCTATTGAAGTATAATTGACAATTTAAAATTGCATATATTAAAGATGTATAACTTGATACAAGCATACATTATAAATTAAAAACTGCATGATCTCAATTATATATGAACTCTAAAACAGTCAAACTCATAGGAGAGAGTAGAATAGTGGTTGCCAGGGGCTGGGGGCAATGGGAAATGGGCAGATGTTGGTCAAGAGGTACAAAGTTTCAGTTATGCACAACGAATACTTTCTAGAGACCCTAATGTACAACACTAAAGTTAATGATAACTTTAATGACTAAAGGTAAGGACTAAAGTTAACGATACGGTATTGTATACTTGAAATTTTCCAAGAGGTAGATCTTAAGTGTTTCTTCCCTATTTTAATTAATCTCTTCCAGCTTTCTGTCCCTTACCTATCTGTGCCTTCTTTATGATACACAGACCAACAATGACTTAAAAATAGATTTAAATTAAACTTTATATTAAGTTTAGTAGAATTAACCTTTACCTTCAAGTACCAGTTTCCACTCAGATGTAAATGAGGTCCTAACTTTGAAATCTGCGTCAGAATTTTGGCAGAAGGCCATATACTAAGTATCCGTGGTCTCTCCTCTTTAGTACTAGAATGCCGTAAGAGAGATAACTAATAAAATTTAAAAAATACAATGAAAAAAGGAAACAGTATACAGAGGTTAGTTGATACATAGCTAAAATTATTGTTTCCAGGGAAGATGAGTGGCCCAATAAATAATTTTAAAATGTAACATTTCCTTTGCCTTAAATTGTTTTCAATATCCAGACATACTTTAATTACATTGTTTCTTGTTTTAGCAAATATGGAACCATTACAAGATCATATTTATAAGATTGTAAAAGGATTACTATAATATGAACACCCATATAATCCACCCATGAAACTAGCTTAAGAGCTAGAATATTATGAATAGATTACAAGCATCCCGTGGACCCGATCCTAAGTCCTTTTCTCTCCTTCTCTGTAGAAGTGATCATTATCTCAAATGTTTTGTCCACCATTCACTTGCTTTCTTTATAATCCTATGTCTGTGTCCATAAGCAATATATAATTTAGTTTTGCACATATTTGAACTTCCTGTAAATTGAATAATATGTATGTATTCTTCTATGGCTTGCCTTTTTTGTTCAATATCATATTCATCAGATTCATCTAAGCTTCTGTATGTAGCTGTAGTTCATTCATATGTCCTGTGTATAGTATTCCCTTAATGACTCTCCTGTCAATTAACATTGGAGTTGATTCAGTTTTTGCTATTATAAACACTGTTGTCATGAATATTCTTGTGCATGTTTCCTGGTACATACATGCAAGAGTTTCTTTAGAGTATATGCACAGAAGTAAAGTAAAATTGCTGGGTTGTAGAACACACACACACACACACACAAATATACATCAGCTTTACTGAATAATGTCAATTTGTTTTCCAGAGTGGTTGTACCACTTCAGAAAAATTACACTTTCACTGCATATTCTTGCAACAGCTTGGTATTGTCAGACTTTAAAGTTTTTGCTCATCTATAAAACTGGCAAAAATTGGTAGGTCATTACGGTTTTAATGTTCATTTTCTTGAATACTAATGTGGTGGAGCATCTTTTCCTAAGTTAATTGGCTGTTCTGATTTCCTCTCCAGTGAAGTGTATGTTCAGATCTTTGGCGCATTTTTCTGTTTGGCTGGTTGTCTTTTTCCTTATATATTCTGGATATATAAAGAATATCTTTGGACAGTTGTGTTGCAAATTTCTTTTCCCAGTATGTAGCTTGTCTTTTCACTTTCTTTGAAAAAAGATATATTAATTTTAATGTAGACATGTCCAATTATTTATGGTTTATGCTCTTTGTTTCTTGCCTACTAAATTATTCACAAATTCAAAGTCGTAATGATAATCCCTGATATTTTCTTCAAAAATTTTTGGTTTTGCCTTTTACAATAAAGTCCTTAATGCCTTTTATTGAATAATCTCCCTGATCTGCAAAGGCAGTTCTGTTATTTATAAAGTTTCCACAGTCTATATTAGGTCTTTATTCTGTTCCGTTGGTCTACTTGTCTAGCTCTGTGCCGATACCACATTGTCTTAAAGGATTTTAGCAGGATTTGATTTCTTTTAAAAAAACTAATTTTCTTAATTTCAATTTTAATTTTAGATTCAGGGGGTACATGTGGAGGTTTGTTACAAGGATACATTGCATAATGTTGAGGTTTGGGGTAGGATTGAAGCCATCATCCAGGTAGTGGGCATAGTACCCAATAGGTAATTTTTCAGCCCTGCCCATCTCCCTCCTCCCTGTTGTATTCCCCAATGTGTATTGTTCCCATATTTATGTTCATGTGTACCCAACGTTTAGCTCCCGCTTATAAGTGATAACGTGGTATTTGGTTTTCTGTTTCTGTGTTAATTCGCTTAGGATAATGGTCTTCAGCTGCATCCATGTTGCTGCGAAGAACATGATTTCATTCTTTTTTATGGCTGCGTAGCATTCCATGGTGTACATTTACCATGTTTTCTTTATCCAATCCACCACTGACGGGCACCTAGGTTGATTCTGTGATTTGACGATTGTGAATAGTGCTGCAATGAACATATTAATGCATGTGTCTTTTTAGTAGAATGAGTAATTTTCTTTTGGTTATAGCCCCAGAAATGGGATTGCTGAGTGGAATGGTAGTTCTATTTTTAGTTCTTTTCTTAGGGTAAATTCCCAACTCTTCTTTAGGATTGTGAATTTTTTATCAATAAAAAGTTTCTTTTCAAAATTTTGAATAGATCCAAAATTAAACATTACATTGCTTAAGGAATTAATATTCTGATACTCCACAAAAAGTAAACAGCTGGAAAACTAGAGTAGATATATTTAGGATGTTGAAGCTACTTTGGCTAAAGTACAGCATTCTTAATATGGATAACAAAGATATTTCCCCTCCTTCCATGTTAATGGATTTTGTTCTTTTCAGCCAAACAAATACAATGTTAATATTAAGTAGATAGATAATTCACTAAATGCTTTCTGAAAGCGTCTCAGCTTACCTTATCCTCAGAAAGTTGCTTATTTTCATGTAGGCTCTAGAAAGGGCTTCGGTGAGTTCAGGTGACTGGTAAAAAAGCAGTTACTCTCGAGGTATTTTTGGTGTAGTGTTCATGGATAATCAAGAGAATCCATACAACAATTTGGTATTTAAATGAGATACATTTAAACAGAAAAAAATCAAGTGGTATGATTGCTCTATATTAATTTTTTATCAATAGGCTAAGAGGGAATATAAAATCTTAATGACAGAAAAAGAGTATGCAAAATATTATTTGTATGTTCTAAATAGCCCAATGAATAGTAAACAGTAAAATCCAACCTGAGTAATCCTTGTTCCAGCAATAAATTTCATAGCTGCTGTTGCTTCTTCTTCAGAAATGAAGACTCCATTTAAATGGGTAAGAGTCTTTAATCTGCCAATAACACTCAGCCTCAATGTGGCTGGCTTGGGAAAAACAAAAAAAAATTTTTTGATTAATTATTAAATATGTTATGGCATGAAAATGAGTGTTTTCATGTCTTTCCATATAATTCAAAATCATACATTTCCTTGTTCATGACATATACCTAAAAATAAAAGCTTAATTATTTAAATAATAGTTGAAATTATATTTAATGATTAATCTATTTGTTTGAAGGTTGGTGATTCTACTCTGATGAGGGAGGGAAATTCCATAAGCTATTGAAAAGTGAAAAGTGTTAAAAGAACAACTGTAGTGACTCCTGTTTATCTAGATCAGCAGTAAGCTAGTCATCTCCCTGTGTGATTCAATACGGATCTTTAGCCTTTGACAATCCAATTTGGCAACAGGGAGATAGCTGTAGTGTGATCATCCAGGAAATATGCTTTGGCAAAGGAAAAATATTATTCACTTTTACTGAGCAAAAAAGAAGAAATACAGCAATATAAACTTAGTAATATGGTCAATTTAATAGAACCAGTTGTGCTTTAGTTTCCTTTTTAAAGGCTGAACACAACCTGATTACATCTTTTAAGGGCAGAGAAAGGAAGATTCTTGACTTTATAATCTTGGGACTTACTTTAAATACTTGAAGATATACTTAAGTATAGTCATGGAATATGGAAATTACCTAGCATTAACCTACATATTTTTGTAATGAGAAAAAATAATGTTCAGATTGCCTTTTTATAAGAGAACATAAGACTTTATAATGCAGGTTTATGAGGGGAGGGGATTTCTGGACTTAAAATTGAAAACAAGTAATGAATAATGCAAAATGCAAAATAAAATTGTAAAACATGTTGCTCAACCACAGATTAGGATATATTATAAATCAAATTATGTTTCTTCCTTAATAGTATGCCCCTCTCACTGTATTATATTATTCTTGGTTCCTATGCCTCATTAAAATACAGTTCCAGCACACTGAACTATATAAAATCTCTGGAGGTTTGCAAATGGCAATGACATCAATGACTCAAAGCAATAATGTTCTCAATCTATTAGAGGTTACAAAAAATCTGATATGAAATTATAGTCTGTTCTTATAGTAACATCTGATTCATTTGATCAGTATATTAAATCCAATTTATGAATGACTTCCACGAAGGAAGTCTAGAAAAATGAAGATACTTTGCCTATCTCTGGCTATTACTGAATAGTAAAGTTAGTAGGGAAATGGCTCTGAAATAAAAATGTTTGCTTTTTAGTAACATGTCTGTGGCGTACCTTTTGCCATGGATTATGTTGAATATCAAGAGTGAGAAGGCTTGTGGTGTGTTTGCATAACATATTTATTTCATCGCCAGATTTTTTCAGTTGATTCCAGCTCAAGTCTAAGTGCTTCAGTTTCATCAGACCTCTAAATCCCTCAAGGGTTATCACATGGTTATGGCTGGCATCCAAATATTCAAGGTTATACTGCAACACATATAAATAAAAGTTATGCTAAGAGAATCATAATTTGTATTTACAAAATAGTTTCTCTGTGGTTCTTTACATACTTAACACACTTCTTGCTAATTCTCACAGGACATATAAACAGTAGTTATGTTGCAATGATGGTATCAACATATGTATTTGTCTAAAGAGCCACAGGTATTTTGTTTTAGTAATTCTCTTTTAATTCATATTTTACCCTTGTAACATAGAGTGGCAATGTCTGTTTTCATAGCAGAGGAGACATAAAGAAACCATCAAGATAATTTATCCCCAACAAACAAAACATACTTTTTAATATATAGGCTTCTGGTTTATACGGTTGAGCCCCATAGCCTGCTTTAAAAAGGTTCATCTTCAGAGTTAGAAACTAAACCTATTAACTCAATACTAATAATTTTCTTTTTAAAAAGTGCATACTTTTAAATAATAATTTTCTTAAATCATAAAAGTAACACATGTTCCTTGTTGGAAATTTGGAAAATATAGCAAATACATGAAAAGAAAAAATAGAAAACATATATAATCCCATTGCTCAGAAAGAGCCACTAAAAGCACTGTTTTTTATTATATGCACATATTTTTTCTTATGTAAAACATACATAATTTTGTATCCTTTTAACATTTTTCCACATTATTAGATCTTCTTAAAGATGATTTTTTTATGACTGCATAATATTTAACTATGTGATCATAATTTTAAAAAACATTTTAATATAGATCTTTATGTTTCTAATTGTTGGCAACACAGCAACAAACATCCATGAGAGTTATTCTCTAATTGCAGCTCCAAAGTATTTTTCAGAACAGGTTTTTGGAAACAGAATCACTGGTTCTTAGACTTTCTGTATTGTTAATACTCTTGATAAATACTGCCAAGTAGATTTCAAGGAAGTTTTACCAACATTTTCTTCCAACAGTAGACTAAGAGAATGCTCATTTTCTCAAATACTCACTGATCCACCTGCCTTGTTTTAATTTACATTATTACTGGTGAAGTTGAACGTTTTTCTATGTGTTTATACTGGTCATTTTAAAATTCTTTGTTTATTGCCTTTCTTATCTTTGGCTATTTATCTATTCATATCTTCATCTTATTTGTTTGTAAGAAATCTCTGAGACTTTAATTTGTTATGTTTGATTTTTCTACAACTTAATTCAAACAACTCTTTAAATTCAGAATAGAATTAGTGATTCTTTTATAAGGTATAATTCTCATTGTTGGGATAGAACTTCTTATAGTGGTTCAGGTTTCAAGAGTTGAATCAAAACCTAAAAAAATTTCTGAACTAAACAATTACTGACTTTTTATTATCAGAAGCAAGCATCAGCAAAACAAAACAAAAACTATCGCTTACTATAATCATTTCTTGAACAAAAGGATATTTGGCAGTAAAAAACTATTAAGGCCATAACTTTAAAAAAAAAAAAAAAAAAAACACCTTTAAGTAAAGTAAATTAGGCTTTATAAAAATTTACTACGTGGCCCTTCTGTTCCCAATTTTCATCATAAGCTGATGAAAACTTGTCCCACATTGTAGCACCTGCCTATAGACCAGCATTTGGGAACTACACATCATAAAAAAATAACTGTCTTCTGCCTGGGCACAGTGGCTCACGCCTGTAATCCCAGGACTTTGGGAGGCTGAGGCGGGTGGATCACGAGGTCAAGAAATCGAGACCATCTGGCCAATATGGTGAAACCCTGTCTCTACTAAGAATACAAAAATTAGCTGGGCGTCGTGGTGCATGCCTGTAGTCCCAGATACTCAGGAGGCTGAGGCAGGAGAATCGCTTGAACCCAGGAGGTGGAGGTTGCAGTGAGCCAAGATCATGCCACTGCACTGCAACCTGGCTACAGAGCAACATTCCGTCTCAAAAATAAAATAAAATAAAACAAAAAAAACCTGTCTTCTTCCATCCCTTGAAAATGGGGTGGAGGGAAATCTTTATTTCTGTATCTTCAGGACATAAAACAGATTCCAGGAACTCATTGAATATTCATGAAACAGTATTTCAGTTTTGCGATAGCATTTTGTTTTAATATTTCTTGTGCTTCAGTTTAAAAATCTCTCTTAAGTTACAGTACAGTACAGTCCAACTTACAAAGATTAAAACTCAAAACACCTCTTAAATTTTCTTGGGATACTGGTTTATTCTCTAAGTGTAGGTTAGCTATCTGTAGACATCAGGAACAACCTCGCAACAGATTTCTCATTCAGAAAGATAATACATTGAGTATTATTTCAATAAAAAATTAGAATTGTAAATTAGAATTGTAATTTTTATCTAGATCAAGGTTGCAAATAGCCATTTACATTTGTCTTTCCCTAGTCAACACTAATTATGGTGGAGCTATTTTCAGAGAAAACATCTCTATTTCCTTCTCCCAGATATTCTCTTTTCCTGATAGTGCTGGTAAGTGAATGACAGACATGCAGCTTATTACATTTCAATTTACCTTATGTGGATATCTTGTTTAGATTTTTGAAAAATTCCACAAAACTATATGGTGTATTTATTTTCTATGACTTATGAATTCCAGTTCTTCCACTGCATAAAGAAAGCCTTAGTTTGAATACACTGATACATAAGGCAAGGCCAGGAATGATGAACACTGTAACAGCAATACATTTACCTTCTACAACCTAGTAGAACCAGCTTACCTCACTGATACGAGAAGCATGCAAGAAGGGCATAGAAATTGTCCCTTTTAGTACACACTTAAGGAAAATGACAGTAAAGATGAGTATCCCACAGCAAATTTAAAAACTTAAAAAATAGGAATTATAAGTGAGTGATTAAATTAGATCATAACCTTTTACAATACTGGAATAAATATAATAGTAAACATGCATATAAAACCAAGTATTAGCGAATATAGAGGCAGAGGCAACAAAAGTTTTCAAATGCTGTGAATCCACACGTAAAAACAGAGCAAATAGATAAAACCAAATTTTCATGGACAACGTTTATAAGAAAACTACATGACAAGGTTGCTCTATAGGCTCCAAAAGAAGTTGGTAGCGATAAACCACCACCAACACAAGACCTGCATGGTATTCATGTGGGAGAAGAAGGAAGTGTCAGGGCAGCATCTAATGGACCTGAAAACAGGAGAGCCCCAAAATAGTCAACAAATATTCACTGGAATGCGTGGAGACCAATTTACAGCAATTGAAATAGGGAGGGGTTTTGCTCTCTTCAATACCAAATGAGTACATGGGATCCACAGTAAAAAGGTCTGAAGGGGCCTGGTACAGTGGCTCTTGTAATCCCAGCACTTTGGGAGGCTGAGGCAGGAGAATTGCTTGAGACCAGGAGTTTGAGACCAGCCTAGGCAACATAGTGAAACCCCATCTCTACAAAATTGTTTTTTAAAAATCAGCAGGGTGTGGTGGCATGCACCTGTAGTTCCAGCTACCCAGGAGGCTGAGCAGGGGGATCACTTGAGGCCAGGAAGTTGAGGCTACAGTGCACTCTATGATTATGCCATTGCATTCCAGCCTAGGTGACAGAGTGAGACCCTGTCTAAAAATGAAGAAAGAAAAAGAAAAAAGAAAGGTCTGAAGAAAGCAGTCCCTGGAGCAGTCTAGCCCCTATGAATCTAAAAACCATTCCACTAGGACTCTCTTCAAGACAGAATCCTTCTCATAGAAGAAACTGCTGGGGCTAAACTCAAAATTAAACAGGATAAGGACAAGAGAGGTGAATAAAAAAGAAGGTCTAGGCTGGGCGCAGTGGCTCACGCCTGTAATCCCAGCACTTTGGGAGGTCAAGGCAGGCAGATCACCTGAGGTTGGGAGTTCGAGACCAGCCTGACCAACATGGAGAAACCTCATCTCTACTAAAAATACAAAATGAGCTGAGCATGGTGGTGTGCACCTGTAATCCCATCTACTCGGGAGGCCAAGGCAGGAGAATCACTTGAATCCAGGAGGCGGATGCTGCGGTGAGCTGAGATTGCGCCATTGCACTCCAGCCTGGGCAACAAGAGCAAAACTCCATCTCAAAAAAAAAAAAAAAAAAAAAAAGAAGGAAAGAAAAAGGCCTAAAGTGGAGGATTGGAGTAGAGCCAAAAAAATCTCAGAAAGTAAGCATTACAATTTTTAAACAGTACATATAAACAACAGAAGAAGAAGATCTGTGAAGGTAGGAAAACTTTCCTACCTCATTTTAAAAGTTAAGAAAAACTAATTTCATTTGCAAATGAGCAGAGAAAAGTACGGAGGTCAAATTCAAGACAAAGCTATGGTGGGAGTGTGGAGAGGGGGAAGACAGAGGTTAATATTGCTGCTAGCAAAAAAAGTACACCAGAAAAATATGCTCAAGAAACATATCATGACTATTAACCTACCATTTTAAAACAAACAAAAAGATATAAAGAATAATATGAGACATAAAATAACAGTGTAAATCTTGATTACAAAAATTTAAAAACTGTTTTAAAAGTGGAGTGAAAGGACCCAGAAAAAATGAAATAAAATAATAAAATAATTTAAGAAAGACTAAATTAGTCATATCCAAGAGTGAATAAAAAATAGATAACACTTTGAAAAGAAATACAAGGTGAAAAAGTGAAAAAAAATTAAGATAAGAAATGAATGAAGAGACAAAAAGGATTGAAGAGAAAGTGACAAATACTGATGATAAAGAAGATTTCACATATGGATAATGGGAGTCCCTGAAGACGAAGACAAAAGCAAGAAAATAGAAAAATTGCTAAAAAAAATTCACATTTAAAACATCTTTCCTGAAAGAAAAAATGATTTTAAACTACATATTGGAAGATCATACTGTGAATCTGAAAAAACAACCTGGAACAACCAACACCAAGACAAATGCTAATAAACTTATTAGATTTTAAAGAAAATTTAAAAAGTTATTTGGCCATCTAGAAGGAAGAAAAGTTTGTGATTTATAAAGGGTAAAAAAAAATCATACATTCTCATCAGACTTTCTACAACACTTTGTGATAGAAC